ACCATCGAAACAACGAAGGATGATGAATGCTGTAAAAAGGATACCGTACAAGAGAAACATAACATTGCTTCACTGTGCTATGTTCTTTTGTGAACGTCGAAATGTAAGACATGCCGATTACTAAAAGCAACTAATCGCATTACTCATTACTGAATCCAATCGGTACGATAGAAAGTGGCAAATTTATTGCTACACTCATTCACCTTCTGGCAGACGGGTAACTGGAAGCTCAAACTTTCCAAACTTCTCGGTCACGTCGGGAGACTCGTGAGTGTGCAACAAAGAAGCTGGAAAGTCTAGAATACCGAAGCGTACAGACCCCGGATTCCCGGTTGTTGCACCACCAGACGAAGAAACTGCAGCTACGGCGGCTGCGGTTGACCCGGGTAAGCTGATTCCGTTTGGGAAAACCAATCCCGCCCGATTGTATACGCGTGATCGTGTTCCCGGACTCTCTGGCNNNTGGCGGAAACGTACCACTGGAAGATGGAATACCAACCCCACCGGTACCTCCGCGAGAGGTGCTACTCGTTATTGAGAGCGGAGTTACACGGCCTGACACGTTGGCTGAAGATAAGTCAGGTAAATCCGATAGTGCATCTTCCTCCGCCTCACGGTCCTCGCTATCCAGACGCCTATCTAAATGGACATCACCCTCATGCGAATCACCATCGACGCGTGAACCATCATCTGTACCTAGGTCGCGCTGTTCCGTGTCGTCAGTCGCCTCCGAAACTCGCACACCGCAAGAGGAACATGTGATGCCACTGGATCTTTCGTCCGCTTCGTTCACATCTGTTCCAATGATGAAAGGAAAAAAATCGAATATATTGTTGATGCGGTTCAGTCAAAGATAATCACGATAACCTACAAATGTGCGTAAATTCTGAACAAAAGTAAAATTAAACCACGGCACAGTATAGGCGTTTTACCACTAGTAGAATTAATCGACCCAAGTCATTCAGATTCGAGTTCGGGCACGCGCCACCCAACCTGAAAAGTTTGCTTTGCATTTGGCAAGTGATGAACGGTGATACTACCTCCGGGTCATTACCACCACCTAGCCGCAGGAGTTAGGTGGTTTCGCCACTCCAGGTTTCAGGATCAGATTATCCGATCATGAAACATCTTAAAAGATTAAAATTCATGTGCACTTTACTTACTCGAAAATCGCACTCACGTTCGCGGTTTGAACTACACCATTGAATCTGTACGTCAATTTCATCAGTCCACTCTCTCTCTTTCTCTCTCGTCCTATTTTTATCCCAAACCAAAGTTTCTTCTACTACAGACAGTCCCCACTTTAAGTTTGCCAGTTATGCTCTTCACACTTCATTCATGTTCACAATTCCTCTCAACTTAACTTTGAAGATCAACTTCGACAATTGGTGTTCCTTTCATGACTTTCTGGGTTCTTACCTCTGGAATAACCATTTTTCTCCGCAGGTGCCTCTACCTTGGCTTCCAAGTCCTTTTACATGCATTTATTTATTCCACAATTCGCTAAGCCCTGTAAATTTTTCTCCATAACAGTCTAACCGCGCCTGTTTTCGCACTATTCGTAAAACGAAAACAGCAGAGCAAGCTGTTTACCGACTGTCGGGATGGTTTCCGGAGAGGTAAAGTACATGCAGTACTGCTTATGCAACTCCTCACTTCAAACGCTCGCCTGATTTTATCACTTCTAAAACTTCAAGATATCAGCTGGCTACGACTTATCTTTTATCATACATGTATAGTGTTACATACATTACCAGAACAAGAGCACTGTTGCGCAAAGTTAAAGATTGTCTGAAAGATAAGACACGACACACCTTAGTATGATGAACTGAGGGAACCTATTGATAACAAGGGTTGTGAGAATCGACGAACTGGGGCATGAGGCAGGGCTGTGGGATAGGGATAATGCTGAGCCGGAGGACAGCAAATCATCACCATCACCATCGTACAGCGAGATACAGATAAGTAAACTTCGCTGATCGCTACCAAGCTCTCAACGTACACAGAGCAAGTGATAAAGCACAAGATGGTTAGGGTTTGAGCCTCATTGGAGGGAGTAAAAGAAAGTGAACTTCGATGGTCAACACACAGATTGATTGTGTTTGATTGTGTAAACTCTGCAAACATACCGCTTCAAGCATTCTGACCTAATAAGAAATGACAACAAGAGCGCCACTGCTATCGGTTAGTTACCTTTAGTGTCTCCAACCAATCAGCTACAGAGTCTTTCGAACCCCAACCTGGAAGACGGGAGACACCTACTCTACCTAATCGCTATGTGCACTTCTTCATGCCTCGTCCCCACCTCATCTGCTGGCCTCCGCTTAGCTCTCTCCAATCTGGAACCCCAACTGCGAATGATGCGCGGTGCAGCAGACGAAAATTGAGTATGCGCAATACGTGACCTAACCAAAGCCTACTGACCTGAATTCTGTGACCACGAATTTGCCAACGAATCATTACCAGATACGCAACGGTATACCTAAGGGTTGCTTACACGCTCGCTCCACCCAACCCGCGCCAAACTACGTAAACATCGGTAGTCAAAGAATTCTAGAAGATGAATGTTTTCCCACGCGCGAATCCAGGGTCTCGCAGCCATACAGCAGAACTGACCGCACACGGGCGCGGTATAAGCGATCTTTCAGCTTCAACAAAACATCATGTCGGCACCAAAGGTGCTTGTTTCAGTCCTGCGTACGCTGCTCGTGCCTTGAAAACGCGGGCGATTAATTACCTGACTAAGCTGCTGCCATTTGTCACGCAACCACCTAAGTAGGAAAAACAATCTACTATAAATAATTCTTGATCATCAAGCACCAAAGCTGGAGTACACGACACCCAATCTTACAGCATCACTTCTCTCCTTAACTTGAAATGATATTCACACTTTCGCCGATGATGCCACTTTGTATTTTTATTGTCCAATTCGTCTTCTCACTCCGTTAACTTAAGCATTAGTAAAGACTGCTTCACCCTCACTATCACCCTAAATTCTTATATTGATCTGACTTCTGCTTGGGGCCGTGATAATCCTGTTCTGTTTGATACGAGTGAACTCTTTCATATGTTCAATTCCCTTAAACGTGAATCCTTCTCCATCACGTCAACATTCTCCGTTCCACAGATTCGGGCGACTTGTTGGAATTATCCTTGTCTCCTCGATCTTGGTCACTTCATATGTATTGACTTGCCTCTTGTGCCGCGCACAACATCGGCTTTCTCTTTCACCCACCTCTCGCTCTAAACAGCTCAGATTCGCCGAACACTAAATACTGCAGTCGTGTGTGGGGTGGAGTTCGGTATACCTCACTGTTTCTTCTTGATTCGATTCAGTGTTCATCCGCCTCATAAACGATTCTTCCCAAACATGCAATTCACAGTCACTGGCTTAGTCTTCAAAAGCCTCAGTGTGGTCGGGGGTGGGTGTTTAGGGTTGCGGCTGGTTACCCTTCCCTTGCACCTCGTGAAATG